ATTTTTCTTTGGTTCGACCTTCACCTGACCGCCAAGGAGTCAGCGTGGAGGCGGCGAACCCATTATTAGACCCCTCTGAGGGCAAACCACAGAGAAAACCGTCGGCGACGGACTCTGAGGAATTAGAATTCCACGACAGTCAAGAAGGAGAGGACGAGGATAGCGATCCCATAAATAAAAACATAGGAGATCATGTACAAAAGTGCAAGGAACTAATAGAGGTACTTGAAAAGTCGGACGATTCCATTAGTTCTACGGACACAGATAAAATGGATACGACAGTTATAGATAACGACAAAAGGGAGCCCGGAGAAAAAACACCAGAAGCAGAGAAATTCACATCTGCGTATGTCACGGCAGAAAACCCCCTATACACTACACTGTCCCTACCCACAAATGTTCTAGCTAATCTGTTAGACTTTAACACTAATGCGTATGCAAATAATACCACCCCATTACACCCACCGTCACTACCTGAAGGTGTGGGACACGTTCAAAACGCCGGTGGATCGAGTAGCCATAGTTTTGGATACGTCCCTTCACCCTCAGGCTCCTCAATACTGGGTACCCATGTAGATATGAGTCAAGTACAACTCAAAAAGGATCCCAGACTGGATCCCAGAATCAGACGTTTCACAGACACAGATGTACCAAGCAGTGTCCAAAAAAGCATACAAATGTACGACTCTCAAAACACCACCTCTGAAGAGGATGTCAGAGACAAACAAAACACAAATCAAAATGGCAGTATTGCATATTCTCCTAACAGTACTTTTGAGAAGCGCACACTACTGCAAAGACAAGCATATGAAATGGAACTAGAAAATGAAAGAGCCAAAAGAGGGGAAGACGAACCTTTCGAGATACCGAAGAAATTTAGCTCCAATTTTCAGAAATTGGTGCGGGAAAAAGCCAAGAGCACGATCACAACAACAAAAAACAAATTTCATGCTCTAACAGACGATTCTGACTCGGATTTAGACGATGAAATCGCGAAAATAGTAAAAAAAAGGAAAAAGGGTGCCAAATTCAGGACGTACAACCCCGATGAGGGCACTGACGTCCAAAACAATGATACTATTATAAACAACAACGACAATAATAGTAAAAACCCGGAGATTAAGGCTAAAGTTAACAACCCCAAGCCCACCCCAGTTAACACCAAAAAAGCCAGAAGCACTATGCCGCCGATAGTCATCGATGGAAAAGCCCACAGTCAAAACACCTTAGTAAAGGATCTCAAAGAAATTGTGACTGGTGACTTTTCCATCAAACACACAAATTATACCACAATATTATTTGTAGATGAAAAAGGTGACCATGAAAAGGTCCTCAACAACATTAAAAAAGAGAAACTTCCCTACCACACCTACACTGCGAGAGACGACAAGTCTCATGCATTTGTCCTCCGTGGTCTCGCAGAAGGTACTAAAATAAGTGATATTAAAGAAAATCTAGAGGAAGAGCACGAGATAGTGGCCAGAGAGATATATCAAATGAAAACCAAACAGAGGCCACTATTCTTGGTGGTAACCGATCCGGTTTTGACACTGGATTATCTGAATAAGAATACCAGAAGAGTACTATACACCAGGGTGACCTGGGAACTAAGGAAATCCTCAAAGCAGATAATTCAGTGTCATAACTGTCAACAGTGGGGACACGCGACAGCGAACTGTGGTAGACCGTCAAAGTGCCTGAAATGCGCAGGGGATCACCACACAAACACTTGCGTAAAGACCAGGGAAACGCCAGCAACATGCATCAATTGTGGGGTGATCACCCTGCAAATTATTCAAAATGCAGGAGTTACTTAAACAAGCTCGAAAGAATGGAAGAGAGACGGCCTACCCAGCAAAAGAAATATGTCCCAGCACCGCAACCAAAAATAAACCAGTGGGAGGCCAGAAGACAGGGAGCAGCACGAAAACAAGAAGAATTTCCAGCTCTCCCTGTCCGAAACACTCAACAGACAGCCCCTAGACAAAATAAAATTGAAGTCCCCAGACAAGTGTCTTCCAACTCTGCCATGGACGATTTCAGTGTGCTTAATAACGAATTTGAGGAATTAAACAGGCTAATTAACATAGGTGAGTTGACTAGAGCGGTAAGAGCGCTTAACGCAAAACTGAAACTATGCAGAAACGGACAGGAAATCATTGAGACTTATAACGCTTTTATGAGCACAGTAGACAGTAATTTCAATCTTAGGAACTGAACTCTCTGAACAAAACACACAAAAACTCAAAATTTGTTTTTATAATGCAAATGGGATGCGTAACAAGACCGCTCTTGTGCGCAGTTTCATTCTTAAACATCATTTTGACGTCATACTCCTTACTGAGACACACTACAAACAGACTGACAACCTTAAAATACAAGGGTATGACATAATAAGACACGATAGGCCTATCCTAACAGGTAATAAAGCAGCGGGAGGGGTAGCTTTCCTAATTAAAAATAGCATATCATATACGCAGTTGAATCAACTTAATATAAAACAGGAACATTTAATAATTAACTTAAATAACATCATTTTTGTTGGTGCATACAACAACCCGAGAGAAGTATTAACTAAACTTGAGCTAAATTTAATAATGTCTGCGGGACACAGAGTTCTTTTACTGGGGGACTTAAATTCTAAACACCCTCACTGGGATACTAACTGCACGACGCACAACAAAAGCGGGAAAAACCTGGATGAATTCGCCGATGACAATGACCTCATCATACACCATTCCGAAGACCCCACGTACTTTCCTTATGACCCTTACAAAACACCAAGCACCCTTGATATAGCCGTTGCTAAAAACATTCCTAACATAGACAATACAAGGACAATCAAAACTATGACCTCTGATCATGACCCTGTATACCTGGAGATCAAAACTAAAAAGTTGGTCCCCAGGATGCAGGGTCATTATTATGACTATAACACCACAGACTGGACAAAATACAGAAAAACACTCGACAATACAATCTCCCTTACTAACAACATCACAGACACTAATACTCTTGAGGAGGAATTCAATAAAATAACGAATAACATTATTAATGCGAGGAATATATCTACGAAGAAAGTCACTTTCAAACCACATAAAGATGACCTCCCTCAAGAGATATTAGATCTAATAGACAACAAAAACTACATCAGACGACGCTGGCAGACACACAGGACAGTGGATGACAGGGTTAGGCTACTTGACATTGGCAAAGCTATAAATCGTAAAATCACAGAACATCGCAATGACAAGTGGCGCAAAACCCTGGAATCTATTAACGTACATGACAATTCAGTGTGGAAAGTTGTGAAGAGGTATAAGAAACCTTATTCGCAGCTTCCCACGCTGAAACACAACAATCACAAATACCACACAGACGAACAAAAGGGAAGTGCGTTCGGCGAATTTTTCCAGGACAACTTTGTAAATAATCAAATAAATAACACCAGACAAAATGAAATTACTGATTTAGTAGATGAAATTCGAGCCATCCCAACACAAATAGTGCACCCAAAATATTTAACTTCCCCTAAGAATCAAATGAAGTGAAGTTTGACGTTTGATTTAACATTATATTCAAGCCGGACTTCCGATTCGGACACCATCGTGGCAATATTGAAATGGCGTTCTCCGAATCGGGAGCCAAGCAATCCCATAAAAATCACAAAATATCTAGTATAAAAGTGACCATCCGAATTTAAAAAGTATACAAAATTAAACAAAATATTCAGTGTAATATTTGGAGAAGATAATTGAAATCAAATATCAAGTGCAGTGGAAAAGTGAAAAGATTAAGCCCATATAAAACAAAGAAAAGAAGAAATACATTCAAGTCCAAGCCAAAAATTTGTATGGCCCAAACTCATTGTGGATTATTGATTATTTTATTGTGTACACGATTATAGCCACCAAAAGCGACTTTGGGCTATTTTGAGCATTTGTGTCTCTTTCTACTTAAATAATATGAAACAAAAACCAGAGAGGGAAGAATAGTTTGTGTTACCGATGTAGCACGTTCCTGGAATATAGGTAATAAATGAATATTTGTTTATATACATAAAACATTAATATCCTGTTTCTTCTAAGAATAATTAAATTAATTTAAAAGTAAACATCTTAATATAAGATTTAATTCAGATATTCGTCAAGTATCATTTTTGTTTGTTTTTATGGAGATTTTAAGAACTAATAATATCAAAAACTCCCTATTAGATAGCCATTTTGAGTGAAGTTAAAGTAAAATTGTTAAAGTAGGCGATTAAGCATAATAGCTCATATTGCATTAAATTATTATAAAAATTCTTTGATTTAAAATTCTTAGAAATTAATTTTTTGTTTTGCTTTATAGATAACTGTTCTGTCGGTTTTTACTAACTTTTGCAAAGTATAATTTTCTGTGACTAGATGCACTTAACTAAATTTCTTTTTAGGAGCTATACAAAGGCAACTACAAATCAAAGAGAAAAATCAATCCAGTTATGGCTAAAGAGGAGTAATCGAATGCGCTACAAAGAAAATAACTCTTAGTGAACTTGTAATTAATAGATGTTTTATCAATAAATATTTTAATTCTATTTTTTGCATTATTTTATAATCTGCAAGGTTGTTCTACTTTTTAATAACCAAGATATCCGACGTTCTACGTTTATAAGACATCTTAAAGACGTCTTATTTATGGCTTCACAAGACCATTATAAGCTATTTACAAGTCGTCTTATTTATGTCTTATTTAAAGCTTCACAAGACCATTATAAGCCATTAATAAGACGTCTTAAAGACGACTTTGTGCTATCTGGGTAATTGTTTAACATTTAATTTACTTGCTTAGTATGTAAAGTTAATTTCTTAAATCGATCCTTGAGTATATTTTGCACTAATTTGCACCATTCTCTTGTGCCTTCTCTTTTCACTTTACAGTGTCTACTTTTTATCGTGTTATTATTTAGTATTTTTACTGGATAAGAATGGAAATTTAAGTAAATATTTTATTATTTTTAGCCTCCCAAATTAAAAAATTTATTAAAATACATTAATCTCAAAGATATTGGTAAAAAGACATTTAAAAAACGACCGAACAACGGAAGGGGCTATCTTCTAGCAATACTTGGAATAACAGTCTTTCAAACGTTTAGTATGGGAGAAATATCTGTTCAAACTCTGTATTTAAGAGCTAAATTAAACTGGACACTTACGAAAATTACAACTACTTCCAGTGTGACGAGTGTTGGCAACATTCTTTGTAGTATGGGCGGGACGTACGTTCTTTATAAAGTATTGAAAATTAAAGAATTTAAACTAGTACTATTTTCAATTTTAGCATTGTCAGCTTCTAGTATTTTGCGAGGTCTAGCTACAAAAGATAAAGACTATTTAATTTACATAGGTAAGTTATTTCAGTAAACTGTACCTATATCTACCAGTGGGTGTCTCCTGGAGGATGTTATAATCCTTTTCCATATAGTTGAATCTGAGTTTACTGAACTCTTAGTTTCCATGTTAAATATTTCCGTAATTTTTCAGCAAGCGCCATTGGTACTTTCAATGGAATTCCAGGAATAATGATAAGAACAATAATTTCTTATTTAGTACCTCGAGAAGAAATTGGCAAAATATTTGCTCTACAGAATATAATATATAACATCAATACCATATTGTCTGATTTGTCTTTTCAGGCCCTTTATAATGCCACTTTAGAAACAAATAGTGGTATATTTTATTACGTTTCAGCTGCAATAAACTGTCTTGCTGCTGTCGGAACATTGTAAGTATAAAAAAATATTGTTACTAATAATTAAAGGAACTAAAAGAGGTTAACGGTTGTGTATACGAAGCTTAGAAGCCAAGAAAACTTGTGTTTCGTGCAAACATTTTCTTATTTAAAAAATGCAAAGTGCTTTCGGCATATTCAGTGCTTATTGTTAGTCAAAAGAGATCAAGTTGCTCACTGAGTGTAAAAGTAGCATATTACAAAATTATTGGTTTTAAGGTTTGTTTGGACCTACGTCTTCACTTGTTTATGACTCTAGAGATGTCTCTACCTATCAAATCAATTTTAGTACACAATTTTTTTTAAGCTACAGGGTTCTATCTGCGATACAGTAATGTTTCGTTAGTTAATGTCGCCGCTAAAAGAGACTGCTAACACAATAAAAGATTACGCGGGAGATCTTCATGATTCGATACAAAGAGCGCTGCCAAACTTCAATATAATTTTGTTTTATTTGTTTATATTAAAATAAATATTAAATAATTTCAATGAAAATTATCCATAATCTTAAAGCTGTGGTGTCGGACCTCTTTCTTGCACCGTATAGTAAAGAAAATCAAAGTATATGATTGTAATCACATACTTTGATTTTCTTTTACTACAGTTCATCAAATTTCTAGAGGCTTTCGACGGCTAGACAGAGAAAGCACTACTGAGAGGCATCGGTTGGCGGGGCCGACGGATTTACGCAATGAAAGTACACTCTGCGCATCAAGTATTTCACTATTTTATTCAGACGTAAATGTCAGATGTAAATTTCTCTAAAACATTTCTTTTATTTTCGTTTGTGTTTTTTGCTCATTACAGTTTAATAGAACCTTAAGTATGGAGTTTAATAGCAAATTAAGAGGCCGCGTGATTAACAGTCAATCTAGCGAAATAATAGCCAATGTTATAGAGTTTATGAGAAGAGAAGGAAACTTTAATTCACCTTCAATGCCATTTAAAAATGTAAATGATCGTGTTGCTGCAGCCACAGGAGTATCTAAAAACACTGTCGTCCGCATTTCTGGAGAGAAAAAAAGAATCGATAACCATGAGATATCGGAATTTTCATCACCAAGAAAAACCATTAAAAAACCAAAAACAGTTAATGATATAGATGAAGCTGACAAAGGTATTTTAAAATGATTTATTCTGTTCATGTTAATCTCGGAAAATATTATTCAACATTAAAAACAATTCTGACTAAATTTAGAGAAGCTACAGGGTACAAAGGAAGCTATAAAAGTTTAAGAAAATAATAAAGTCGCTAGGATTTCGTTGGCGGAAAACAAAAACAAACAGCAAAATATTAATGGAAAGGTTTGATATTCAAAAGCTACGTTTAGACTATCTGATTCGTTTAAAAAGTTATCGAGCAGAGGGCCGTCCATGCCTCCCACACACACCAGAAAGCTTGGAGTGATAATTCAAATGAGGGATTAAAGAAACCAATTAATAAAGGTGATAGACTAATTATTGTCCATGCAGGAGGTGAAATGGGCTTTATTCCGAATGCCCGGTTAATTTTCAAATCTGGAACCAAAAGTGGAGATTACCACGATGAAATGAATTTTAATAATTTATCTAAATGGTTGAAAGAAAAGCTGTTTCCAAACCTCCCTCCAAGAAGCGTCATTATTGTTGATAATGCTCCTTACCATAATGTCCAAGTAAATAAAGCACCAACGTCAACTTCTAAAAAAGCTGACATGCAGGATTGGTTAAGGATTCATAATATTGCTTACGAAGAGGATATGCTCAAAACGCAATTATACAGTTTAGTGCTATTGCATAAGTCACGATTTAAGAGGTATGCAATTGAAGAAATGATAAATGAACATGGTTTTAGTTGTTTGCGTTTGCCACCGTATCATCCCGATCTTAATCCGATCGAATTAGTGTGGGCATCATTAAAACAATATGTAGCTAGTAACAACACTACATTTAAGAGGCAAGACGTACAACTGTTGTGTGAAGACTTTTTTGATACGTTTTCTAAAGAGGAGTGGCAATCTCGTTGTAATAATGCTAAAATGTGGGAATCTAAATTTTATGACAGAGAAGTTACTTTGGATGAGGCAACTGATAGATTTATAATTAACTGAAACAGTGACAGTGAGACTGATTTTGAATCTGATATGGAAACTGAAGAAAGTTTTTCGGAGGACCATTAAAATTATATCTGTACCTAAGATCAAAAAAGTATTATCTATTTTTACAACGAAGATGCACAAGAATCAAATTTTATTTTTTTATTATTAGATAGCTATTTTTGTTTCTGAGTTGTGTTCATTTACAGGCTCAATTTTTTTCCGTTTCTCCTTTTTGATTTTATATGGGGTTTCAAGTTGTGTTTGACTTATTTCGACGTAAATCACAACAACACACTTTTTTAATAAAGCAAACAAGTGTTAAGAGGTATATGTACGTGTAAACTACAATTACAAAAAATTGATATGAAACCCATGAAACCACCAACAAAAATGTAAAGCTAGCTTCCGTACTAGAACATGGTGTCATTCGTCGAGATAATTTATCGTTTTGTTTAATAGATCAAGAAATGTAAATATTCCCCTGTTATTTTTTATAAAATTATAAGAGAAATAAATTTTTTTCTAAATAGTGTTTATTATTTTGTAGAAAAACAAAATTTCGAAAATTTTAGTAATGTTTCAGAAACAACCGTTATTAATAATAGGTACCATTTTCCTTAATAAGGTAGAAATAAAATATAAACTATTTCCACGATTTACAAAGGCCTACAAAAAAATTATAGGTACTTTCCGCTATCCTATAAAATTTATATTTTCTGACTCAATTTCAAAAGGTTGAAGTAATTCCAAAACACCTTTTATGGCATAATAATTATTTTCAATTCTACATACTATCTTTAGCTGCTTTTAAAAACGTTCTAAGAAAGTCCAATCAGACCAATTTAATCCCTAAACTATTCCACACTTTTAAAATTTAATTACCTAAAAATATTAAAAACTATTTAAAATAACTTGTTTAGCAGACTGTACAATAGCTATCTTAGTCACACGTAGCGCGTTCTCTGTCTGGGCGTCGAACACCTCTAGAAATTTGATGAACTGTATACGGAGAATGATCGCACTGCGCAGCTTTCTGAGTGCCTTTTGATCCCTTCCCAGACAGCACAAAAATATTGCATGAATATTCAATGCATACCTCAACTGCATACTTCTATATTCCATGGATATGCCATATCCGCCATGGCATAACATATGCCCACAATATGTTTTTATCTGCCAAAATATATGTATGGCATATTCTCTGGATTTACTGAGGATATCTATGTATGCCTATATTCATGGTATTTTGAATATTCATGGCAATTTTTTTTTGTAATGCCCTACCATAGTTTAGAAAATAAAACCCATACTTAAATACAAAATACATTTTATTTTAAAAATAAAGCAAATTTTAAAAAATAAAACAATACATACATACAAAAAACTAAGGTTCTTCACGTACTTTTCTCCTAAAAAAAATTATAAGATATGTATAAATTATTTACAAATATTTCAAAATCTTGAGACAAAAATTACAGTAATACTTCTATAGCATCTTTGGGTCACTTTATTTATAGTAAAGGCTTCTACATTTTCCGTTGCCATTAGTGAACTGTGGATTTTCCTGCACATTTCTAAAAAAAAAAAACAAAAATATGTTTACATAGTGCCTTGTCTGCAATTTTATTACGAATTGCCCATATTTTGATTTCCTCTAAACACTTTTATAATGATCAGTTACTTTATTACTAAGAATAGGTAATTCATTAGCTTTAGATGTCTTTGAATTAATATTATCCTATACAAAGATAGATGTTGAAATAAACTCAGATTCTTGAATTCTTGAGTTGAAAAGAATAGTGAAAAGAATAATGGTATTTCTTCGGAAGAATCAGTAAGAAACTTACATTTTACATTCATCTGAAGCTAATGCTCTATCATTATTTGAGAACAAGAGACTCGTCTACCAATCGATTTACATTTCTTATAGAATATTTATGATTTTAAGCACCACACTGATACTACAGAAGGACCATATATTATAATCAATCAGACTTACATCTTAGGTGGGTATATCGTGAGAAAAACAAAAACTTCATCACGTCTCTAGCACGATGAAACACAATCTAGCAAATCTGACAATGTTTGATTATGTGTCATATTCTTCTTCTTTTTTATTAGTGGCCTTCACCGTTTAGAGTATTTGACCAGGATATCATGAATAAAAAATATTCCTTACAATCTAACTTCCGTGTAATAAAGACTTACGTTCGAAGATAGGCTAGAGTATGAGTGGAGAGTCAATAAGATGACAATATAAGGTAATTTTTACTACCAACTACCAATACGTACTAGGCGCATACTTTTGACTGTTAGAATCATTCTTTTGTCCTTTTCTTGTCTACATTATAGGAAAACTATACATACTTATTTTATTTATGAAGAGAAAGATAATTTGATGTCAGAGGTTTAATTTTTTTTTATTAATTAAAAATAAGTTTGCATGATAATGAATTAAAGTTACATTTCGGAGTTCTAAGTTCACGTTTTTGTTTAATTCAAGTCTTTATAAACTAAACAAGGATGATCCTGTTAACTATGTCATCATTTGTACAATCTTCATCTCTAAGATAATAAAACAAAATAGTTAAATATAACGTAATATTCTACAGAGATATCTATACAATATGAAAAATGAATATGCAGAGCATATCAAAAATACATATGCCTGGAATATCTTTCTAGAATGTAGAATATGAAATATATTCTGTGAATATTCCATAAATATTGTATTATATTTTGGCAGATAGGCAGATTGGTGGAATATGCCAGGGATCTTGATTACTATACGAGGCAAGAGAGAGGTCCGACACGCCCAACATAGGGCGCGGCCATTTTGATTCCTGTGACACAATTTACAGCTGAAGAATCAGATCGCTCACTCTGCGTCGGCACTTTTGATCTCAATGTTTCAGT